TTTGGTAACATAGTTAGCTTATCAGCCAACTTATTGCTTCAAAATGCTAGAATTCAAAAAGCTACTCAAAGTAGCTTTTTCGATAAGCTTTTTGAGAAAGTCATTTTACATGTAATCAGTTATAGCTAACAGCTAATTTACCAAACACTTTTCTACAATCAACTAATGTCATCAACTAGTCAAACTCACTAACACAATCAGCTAACAACTATTTACCAATGACTTTTGTCGTTGAGCTGAAAGAACTTCCTAAAAGTGGCAACAACTTTGTGATTTTGGAAATGAAATGAGCAGCTAACAAGGCAGTGAGATTAAAATGCAAATATGAATGATCACATTGCTCCAAAAAGTTTTCTTGGAGAATTATTCCTATACTCAAACTCAAAATGGAACAATCATTACCGGAGAAAGTCTGAAAGGACACAACTTTGGCTTCCCCTTCCTACTATACTTTACCAGTTGAGTGCCTTTCTTCAAAGCAAGAAGTCCCTTCAAGGAACATACCAAAAAAAGAAATCACATATATTAAGTTATTAACCAACAATTCATTAAAAAAAAAAATGCAGTACACTGTGATATGCAGCATCAAGTAAAGAATTGTAATAATGTTTCCAGCTTTTCTTTGTCCACAAAAGGCGAAATCTCGCCTATCCCGGCTCGTCGGGATTTGTGGAGGTTATAATTCACGGTAACTCAACAGCCCATTAGGTCAGAGGATAAGTGTTCATCAAAGAATCCACCACACATTAAGTGTAACTCTCACAACTGTCGGGCTTAATATAATATAATACAATGGAACAAACTGAGCTACCCGAGCAGGCAAACAAGTGTTTCTTATTCCACAGTGATGGGTAGTGACAAACCTGGTCATTGCTGCCATAACTAACAGGATCTGCCATTCCATCTGAAACAATTCTGGGTTAGCCACCACCGGAGAAGCCTATTTGACCCAACCATCCGCTTAGTCATCATAGATACAAATACAATCTTCCTCGGCCTACCATCAACTTCAATTCCCTGGACTACACTTCTTCTTCAGCTCCAATTTTCGTACCATTGGATGATCGCAAAGAGCATACTTGTGTTTAAAGGTTTCCCTGATTCAGCTGATAAAGACCCATTCTCTAAATCACCGAAAATGTGAAGAAATTTTGGGGATTTCGTGCGAATTCATATTCGATTGGGCGTGATCGGAAATGGGTAATCAAGCCTTGGTGTGATTGGAACAGATCAGAAACGCATAGGCATGCAGAGAGAGAACAGAGGAGAGAGAAAGTGAGACATGAGTTTAGGAGAACGTTTGCAGCTCAATACAAAGGGAACCGACTTTGGCGCGCTTATTTGGCCATCTTAATCACCTTGTAATTAATTACTCATTCCATTTCAGTATATTACAAACCAATTATTAAACCAAAATTATAAGACAGATTTTTATGCCTGAGATGATGAAAATGTTGGAAATTTAATACTGATTAGAATAAAGTATTTGTTATTTAAGACGATGGAAAAAAATATAAGGAATAATATTTTAATATTTTAATTTAAAAATATTACATTATTTCTTGGTATTGGTTTGGGGACCAGAGGGGGAGTAGTGGGGGCAGCTCCACCCACTCACCTCACCCCTAGCCCTTGTAAGTATATATATATATATATATATATAATGCAATAAATATATATATGAAACCCAAACCATTTAGAAAATTACTCACACCTCTATCAATTAGACTAGTCAATTTATTATGTAAATAATTCGTTTTCATATAAATATACCTAAAACGTGTACTCTATATATATATATATATATATATATATATATATATATATATATATATATATATATAGAAGAGCGCTCATATGCGGCGGGGTCTTACCGTGCGGCGGTGCGGTCAAATTTCAGAATACACCAACAGTGTAATAAAAACACACCACAATGAAATGCAATAAAACATCACAAAATACACAACAGACTCAAAAAAATACACCATATAACTCACCACCCCAACGGTGTATTTCCGAACAGTGTATGGTGTTTTTACTCACACCTAATGGTGTGTGTTTGGTGATGCAGGGCTCTGTTTACTCTGTTTTGTGGTGTATTTTCCTAACGTTGATGGTGCATATTTGTTGAACTATTGGTGTTGCCGCACCGTAAGACACTTCCGCACCTGAACCCGCCTATATATATATATATATATATATATATATATATATATATATATATATATATATATATATATATATATTTCTTTTTTATATTAATAATGACATGTGTAATTTATAATGTATTTTTTGTTTGAATTATTTTATTAAATTAATTATATTTCATATTTTGTTATGAATATTTTTATAAAGTTTTAATGTATTTTATTTTTCACTTATATCCGACAATATTTATGACTATATTTCTTAAGTGTTTTATTGTTTTTCAAACTATCTCTTTTACTTTAATGTCTTTGCCCCGACTGAACAAAATTCCTGGGTCCGCCACTGTCGGGGACCCGAAGGATTGTGTTAAAAGCGGCTATAGAGTCACTGTGGGGAATTTTGTTCGTAGTGGAGACACCTTTGAAAAATGGCAAACAATGTGGAAGCTTAAAATCCCCCTAAATGGAAAACTTTTCTATGGAGAGCTTTGAGTGATGTTTTTCCTACTACTAAGAACTTGCTTATAAAGAGGGTAGAGGTTGATCCCTTTTGTGCCATGTGTGGTATCATGCATGAAGACACCATGCATTCTTTGGTGTTGTGTGATTTTGCAAGAGCCATTTGGAATAATCCCACCTTCCAATCCCTACCATTGTGACAATATTTTTCATTCTTGGTTTGAAGAAGTTCTGAGTATTCTTGACTCTAATGAAATATTTTTCACAACTGATATTCTATATTTTATTTGGAAGGCGAGGAATTGTGCGGTTTTGGATGCATGTCTCCCATCTCTGAAGAAGGTCGTGGCGTCCGCTACGGCCGCTTTGCAAGCATGGCAACGAGCTCATCCGGATGCCGACGCGAGGAGGACGACTGTTGCTACTGCCGTCTCTACCACACCACGAGCACTGGCGACAGCCCTTGCTACCATGCCTACACACGTTGCTGCCTCGAGCCGCATGGACGAACCGCAAGCTGCTATAACGCCGGATTGCGTTCGTGCCGTTTTGACGCCAGCTTCCTGCCTACGTCCAACAAAGCCTCAGTGGGGGCGGTCTTATTCGATGAAAACGGAGGCTATGTTGCGGCCTTCAATGCTATGTTACCTCCTTGTTTTCCCCCACTTATGGCTGAGGCCTTTGCATGTAAAGAGGCCCTATCCTGGTTAAGGGATCGTGGGGAGCGATCTTTTGAATTACTAACGGATTGCTCAAGTCTACAGCACTGCTTATCTTCGACTGCAGAGCCAGTTCAATCCTACGTCGGCTATGCCATTGATAGTTGCAACTGCAGAGCCAGTTCGATCCTACGTCGGCTATGCCATTGGTAGTTGCAAATTTTCTATTTCTTTATTAGATCGTTGTTTAGTCAGTTTTATTCCTAGATCATTCAGTACGGGGAGACTAGCTCTCCAGACTCAATTTCTGAGTATCTCTAATATATACCTTTGAGGTTGCTTTCAAAAAAAAATATTACATTATTTCTCAAAAATATTACAGTCCCTTATTTGTAAAAGACATTTTATTTTTAATTAATATTATATTTTTCTATATAATTATTACATTATCATCGTGACTCCTCATTTTACGGATTGGATAAGGATCCGTGAGACAATCTTACAAAAAAGTATAGTTTATATAGCATCCGTCTCATCAAGAGTCAAACATGGATTATTAGACTAAGAGTAATAAATTTAGATGTGGTTTTTTTTTTTTTAAGTTGATGGGATGAGTAAATGATTTCCCCATTTGAAACTTAATATGACACTAGAGCCCAAAAGAGAGAATATCATGAAAAATCATTAGAGGAACTACAAAAGAAACTTCTAAGGAAAGAACCAGTGAAAAGAATTATCTCCACCTTATGACTTGAACACAAATGACAATCTTGGAATTAATTACCCAAGTTAGATTGTGAGGTGATGAGAACTATGATAAATGAGCACATGTTGTTTAGATCCTCTACAAACTCAATGAAATTGGGCTTTGTTGCAATACATAGTAAGATTTTAAAATCAAATGTCGATTTAGTTAACTTTATATTAATTTATAACATAAACAAATATAAATACAAAATTTTCTCATTAATAAAAGTTTATTAATCCAGATGCATGAACGAATGATTTTGGAGGAAAAAGAAACAAATGGCAATGGTTTCTTCATGGACTGATATTGGTGATCAACTTCAGAGATAGACTTCAGAATTCAGAAATAACATTGCCAAAAGCTTAGTTGTAAAACTCCAACAATGGGCTTTCTATATTTTATCTCAACTAGCAATTTCATAGCACCCAAAGAAAATACATAATAGGCTGAGAGGGAGGAAGAAAAAAAAAAGGGAAATCCAAAACACCATTATCATAGAATACTATGTTGCCATGTTATTGTCCTTAAAATGAGACATAATATCACACTTCAAAGAATGCAAAAGAAGTTCAAATCAATAGATTAGCTACAATTCTTGCAGAACAAATAAGCTAATTGATTTACAAGATATGACAACACTTCATTGCCCGCACAAACTTAGCTTACAGCTTCAGTAGGCAGTATTTAGGAAGAGAGACAAAGATTCGTGTAAGGATTGCCCAAAGTGGGCCCAATTTGCGGAGCTATTGTGTCTCTGTTGATTTACATCTATGTCCGGCCATTGGGGTTGGGATTCAACCTTTTGGTAGAACCATTCAAAAAAAACCAGTACCATAACACCTTGCCAAATAATATCCTAATGCAGGATCTACACATGATTGCAAATTATTCTCAAGAATTTATAAAATATAAGAACCAGCAGTTGCCAGTTTTCGGATTGGCCTGGTTCCTAATTAAAAACACCATTTACCTAAGATTTTTTTTTAAAAAGGAAACAATTTCATCTCATTCAAGGTTGGCCAAGAAGTCATATAGCAGAATACAATCAAATTCGACAGAGTTGCAAAAAGAAAGAAACAGCACTCAATAAAAAACAAAACTTGTTAGGTAATAGAGGTCCAGAAAAATAGGTATACAACTGAGAAATGTCTTAAGCATAAACAAGAACTATTATCCTTGTAACAATAATAATGCACCTCCTAATCGAACAAGCTGAATCCCATGTCATCGTCACTCTCTTCCTTAGGTTCTTCCTGGAAAAACAAATCAATTTGAATCAGATATAGATATTTCTTAACATCACTAACATAAACCCATCGAATTATAGTTGGTCTAACTATAGTTCTACCTTCTTTTCCTCAGCAGCTGGAGCAGCTGCGGCTGGGGCAGCACCACCGGCAGCAGGAGCAGCAACGGCAACAGCGCCACCTCCACCACCGGCGCCGACGTTCATGATGAGATCCTCAATATTCCTCTTCTCACAGAGCTTGGCGAAGAGGCTAGGCCAGTACGACTCCACGGTGACATTAGCCGACTTCACAAGTGCAGCAATCTTCTCCGCCTGCAAAAAACCCCAAACGTTGCAAAAACATCAGGAGCGACTAAAAAATTCGCAAAATTTCATAACAAACTCGTTGAGATCAATAGATTGATTACAGTAACGGGGATTCCATCGTCGTGGAGAATCAAGGCCGCATAGGTACAGGCGAGTTCTCCGATCGACATTTTCGATCTTCAATCTACAGGTATACCGATGCTACTAGGGATTTCTTGCTGCTAGCGTGATACGGTGCTAGGGTTTTCTGAAAGAGTGAAAGTATATATTTACAGGGGTTGGATATAATGGGCCGTTTTGGGCCTTAGTTCATGTGAATATTTAACAAAAATATAGTTTTTTTTTTCTTTTTTTTTTTAGATTCATTAAAAAAATATTACACACTTCATGCTAAACAAGCTCACACAAGTTTTTGTGGTTGCCCCAAATTTCTTTTGTCAAAACAAATAATAATAATAATAATAATAATAATAATGGTTTGCTTGCAGCAACATTTTAAATTTTTAATGCACATATCCTTGTTAAAGTTACACCAGGGCAAATAAGGTGTGTTTGGTTCATGAGTTGTCAGTGTTTGATTGACAGCTTTTTAAAACACAATTACGAGTTTTTTTTTTTTTTTGAAAGGAAAATACATAGTAGATAAATGTAAAAACCCTAGAATAGAGTCGGAGGGAACAGAGTCTCAATACAACGAGAAGTTACAAGACTTTGCTAAAGTATGGGCTATAAGATTAGCTTATCTAAGAACAAAAGTAATCGAACAAAACTCAAAGCTACTCACCAAAGTATTGCAATCGTGGCTATGCCAATATATAAAAGGATTTCAATTGAGGATAGCACAGATTGTGACGCAAGATGGCACAATTAGTATGAAGAGCTACTGCCACCTCCTTCTTACCTTTGAGCCAAGATAGAGCTTCTCTACAAGCAATGGCACAATCAGTATGAAGAGCTACTACCACCTCCCTCTTACCTTTGAGCCAAGATAGGGCTTATCTACGAGCAATGGTCTCGGCCCTGAGAACTGAACTACAATTAGGAAGAGGACCACATGTACATGTAGTTGCAAACTCTCTCGTCGGCGACATAAGTACTTCACCCATCGCTCTTCCTGTACCGTTATCCCATGAAGCATCAAAATAGCAACGCGACAGACCAAGTGGATACGCTTGCTGTGCTTGTGGCTAACAATTATGAGTTTTGATTACCCTTTCAATTAAAAATTTCATTCCCTAAAATTAAAAGGAGATACCATTCCATCTTATTGGTAATCTAATTTTTAAGTTTGAATTAATACTTTTAGATTTTTGTTTTGATTTTTTTGTTCATATTATATTTTAGATGTCATTATATTAGGATCAATTGTCTCATTTTTTAAAATATATTTTTACAACATTTATTCTCATTATAGGATCATACAAAACCAAACATTCATATTGGTAATCATTCTAATTCCACCCTACTACCATTACTTTCACCAAAACGGCAAAATCCATTATCATTACCAAATATTCCAATTCCCATACTTATGGGGTTATTGTATTTTGGTGAATAGTTTACTAACTGTTAACTGTTAAATGTTAATGGAGCTAGTTGTTTTTATCACATCCCCTTCCTCCGTAGCAGTCATTTATGTTGTCTATAGTGAAGATGTTGCATTGTATAATTTAAGCGCATTAAACTGGCAATAAGTTATGGTGTCTTTCTCAATAACCAGGCAGTGCCATGGCCTTCTATTACAACCCCAATCACTAACCAAAAAGAAATGAATAAATGAAGAAAAATGCTTAAACATATGCTTAAATGTTGCGAACTTTATATTACATCATATAAACACCTTATAGTAGACAATGTCTGCTTGGTAAAAGCATAGAACAAAGCAGCTGTTCATATGCTCTGTTCTTTCATCTCCTTTCCGCATAGAAAGGAGACCACCAGATGGTTGTTCAGATAGCCATTGTCCTAGGGACTCAGCAAGCTACCCAATTCCCCATCCTGATGGGGGAATGGGGACCAGCAGATGGTTGTTCAGATAGCCATTGTCCTAGGGACTCAGCAAGCTACCAAATTCCCCATCCTGATGGGGGAATGGGGGCGGGGAACACCCTGCCTGCCCTGATATATATACCCCAAATGTGGGGAAGGGGATGGGGGCTGGGAATACCACAACTATAAGAACCAGGAGTGCAATCTCTTGGTGTGTGTTCATGGCTCAAATCAACACGACCTAAAGTCATGTTGAAGATTCAAGCTGTGAAGTTCAGTTGATGAAAACTCAACTCATAGGATATTAAGTTTAAACCTAAACAGAATTCCAATGCCAACAATATTCAAAAGATTATCAAACACTAATGAGAGAGTGTGAGATGAAGGAAGATAAACAATGATAGTAGGCAGGCTGGATATAGTAACAATAAACACCAAATCTCAGACAACCAAACATTGACAAACACAATCTTTAACAATTCAAGATTGGCCAAGAACTCATGAGCAGAAATCAATCAATTTCAATTGAGTTGCAAAGAGGAGATAGAAACAGCAATCAATAAAAACAAAACCAGTTTTGATAGTATAACTCAGAAATGTTTAAGCATAAACAAGAAACTAGTATCCACTATTATCCTTGTAACAATACTAGTGCACCTCCTAATCGAACAAGCTGAATCCCATGTCATCGTCACTCTCTTCCTTAGGTTCTTCCTGGAAATACAAACCAATCGCAATCACATAAATATTTCTTAACATATATCCATTGAATTATAGTCGGTCTAAGTATACATACCTTCTTTTCCTCAGCAGCTGGTGCAGCTGCGGCAGGGGCAGCACCACCGGCGGCAGGAGCAGCAACGGCAACAGCGCCACCTCCACCACCGGCACCGACGTTCATGATGAGATCCTCAATGTTCCTCTTCTCACAGAGCTTGGCGAAGAGGCTAGGCCAGTACGACTCCACGGTGACATTAGCCGACTTCACAAGTGCGGCAATCTTCTCCGCCTGCAAAAACATCAGGGATTAAAAAAATTGCAAATTTCATAACAAATTCGTTGAGAGTAATAGATTGATTACGGTAACGGGGATTCCATCGTCGTGGAGGATCAATGCAGCATAGGTACACGCTAGCTCTCCAATCGACATTTTCGATCTTCAATCTACAGGTATACCAATGCCACTAGGGATTTCTTGCTGCTAGCGTGATGCGGTGCTAGGGTTTTCTGAAAGAGGGAAAGTATATATTTACAGGGGTTGGATATAATGGGCCGTTTTGGGCCTTACTTCATGTTTTAGCATATATGGGTTGAAATATAAAGAGGGCCTTCATTATGCAAACCCAATTAAACTAGGCATAATACATGCAAATTATTGTGTGGACCATGGTCCATACAATGTTATGTGGACCATAACTAAAAATACATTTGTAATATACTAAATGTACTTTATTTTTGTACTGAATGTACATTATACAATATAATGTATACTCAGAATAAAATAATGTACATCACCTGAATACAATTACATTATTTTTGTATTGAATGTACATTATTTTTGTATTGAATGCACATTATTTTACAGTAGACAAAATATGATCCACACAACTTGGTCCACACAATAATGATTGGCATAATACGGATTGTTATATCGGGGCGCACAATGCACCCTGGTCCAAAACAACGACGTTTTTATAAGTTGGTGGGCGAGTTGATGCGACAGACACCGTTCCGTCTGTCCAATCTCGTTACAGGTTTTTTTTAAACACTTGTATTTATGTGTATTATGTTAAGAGTTTATGTGTATTATGTTAAGAGTTTATGTGTATTATGTATTATGTTAGATTATATGTATTATATTAGGAGTTTATGTGCATTCTACTATACAATTCTGTACATAGAAAACTGAATAACAGAATTACTTTTTGCGGAACGACGAAAAACAGATGTCGTTTCTTTTCATTAAACAAAATGACGATATCGTTTTGAAGCTCAGATCGATTATGCACCGCAGTGCACGGTATAATTTGGCTATAAATTGCACGGGGTTTTCCCCAAGTCTCTATATTAATTTTCTTTCAATTCGTCAATTGCAACTCAGACTTCTACCTCAATTTTTTGTACGGAGTAGTGCTTCATCAGCATCATTGTCTTCTAATGGAGCATAATCATCCAACATGATATGGTTCGTGAAGGCAGTTTCATCTTTGTATTTTGAATATATACTTGTGAAATTTCCATTCTCAACAAGTCGTCTTAATCATTGGTGTTGAGTTATCCTTCGAAGAGTTTTTTCAAATTCTCAATTCATTGAGAATAGAGCTTTGCGTACGTATAAGAAGAATTTCCTTTGTCAAACCTCCCTTTCATTGTTCCAACAATGAAATATCTTAATTGATCAATTGGAATTGATGGATATATTATGATCGGAGCAAATCGACTTGAGAAAGTGAAGCAAGGAAGTATGAAATGGACCTGGGGTTTAGAGGTTGAGTCCCGTGCTCGGCCCAAGGTGTTTCGCCCATATGAGCTCTGCCATGTCGAGCTCGGCACACCCGCGGACCCGGTCTATACCCGGGCGCGGTCAACTCGGATCCATCTACCCCCGATTTAGGGGGAGGCGGTTGGGGATTTAGCTTGTATAAAAGCTCCCCCGGCCCCTGTCCTAACAAGGCACGTTCTCATTATCTTACACACTTTGTCCTACCAAATCATTTTGTAATAGTCTATTTACGGCATTTAATACGATATACGGTCCATGCGGCCTTATGACATCATTTCGTTATGTTTACTTATTTTATATTACGTTCTTATCTGGATTTATTGATTCGGGTCCACCCAGGGTGAATTAAATCCATCAGGAATCATATCGTCGAAAATTTGTATGATTTTTTTATGAATTTGTGGTTGTGAAAACCCTTCCTTGAGTTCTTCATGTTGCTTCTCTCAGGCATGGCTTGTATCTCCTTTTGGTGTACGTACTCTCAAACTTGTTATGCAGTTCAACTATTCTATTTATCTTGCAAGGTTTACTTATTTGAGGCCATTTGAACAAGCTCGATATTACAAGTCTTAGCAAAGAAGTGAGAGGTAGAGGGGTCCCACAGGATGTGGCAATTTGTGAACACATAAAAAATCATGTGCATTGTACTAACACTAAAAATTTGGTACAAGGTAAGAATGTATAATTGTGTAATTGGGGTACAATAATCTCTAAATAAATCCTTTAATTCTTTGCTTAATTTAATTTGAATACTTCACAAACAATT